ACTACTCATAAATGCCAAGATGTTTTAGTTATCATATAGAAAACACTATCAGGCATAAAATCTGGGACTTGGACATGGCCCATCAGAGATACATAAAGACAGTTACAAAGTCTGTCTGGCTTCACCTAATGAACTTTAAATGACTAATTCTTTAATTAATCTTTAATTTGTATTAACTAAACAATTTTTGAAATTATTAATAAAACAATATTCACAGGTCTGCCTGAAAAAGTTGATCAGACAGCTAGAGTTGAGGTAGAATGTTGCTGCCCAGGTCCTCACTAAAACTAGGAAAGCAGATCAGTTGATTAAACTTTAGAGGACTTCTGTTAATTTATAAATCACCAAAATACAAAAAAGATCTGACGTTGTATCAACCTTCCACAAACCCTCTCTACTTCCCGTTCAATTTTCCACATAACCTCGAATCACAGCAAAACATGGAGAAGCAGCACTCTGTTATAGTGCTCTAATAAACTCCCAGAAAACAAAAAGAATGGTAAAACACATTTTTTTAATTAAGGACAAAAACACATTTGTTCAAGCTGTTTTTGAATGTTTTTTTTTTTTTTTTATTACCAGAAATATTTTTTAAATTTTTCTCCTGCCAATCGTTTATTATTCTGCTTTATTAAACTACTCTGTTCTTGAGCCAAATACTGGCTGTCGCAGGTTTGAGTCCCGGTCCTGCTGACCTTTGCCGAATGACTGTCCCCTCTCTTCTAACCCACTTTCCTGTCTTGAAAAATAATGAAAATAAAGGCCACTAGAGTCTAAAAAAAAAAAAAAAAAAAAATTGCTCATATATTTTCATCATGTATGCACTTTGAATTGTCTTGTTGCCTAAATATGCTTATACCGTACACTTGTCATGCCTTGTTTCATCTTTACCACCGCAGTTTGTTTTAACATTAAATATCTTGTGGTTACAAAGAGCTTAAAGAAATGTCAGTAGGTCCCAACTACTGACCTCCAAATGTCAATCCAATAGAATACACCTTCTGTATTGTTATCATCCAAAAGATCAAATGGGCACATATGAGATATGCTTGGTAACAACAGTGAGACTAATGTTATGTGTATTCCTACTGGGAAAAAAACCTGTAATGACCCTATTGCACTTTTATTGCACCACATTTCACAAAGGGTGGTAAATACCAACATAGCTGCTGGGGAGGAAGACAATTCTTACCGGATTAAAGGTAAAAGGATCCAAGAGGGGCTTTTTTGTTGGGCTTTTTTTCAGTTTTCATCATTCTGCACTTTTCCAGACTGTCCCTTCTCTTCTTTACAGCAATCTGTCTGCAGCCGACAGAGACTCAGTAGGAGGAGGAAGGGACGTTTAACCTCATCAACCCTCCCATCACAATAGAGGTCTTCTTTTGGTCTAAATGAGGAAGATCTATTCATCTGAACAGCAGTGGTGTCCTTCAGATGCCTTTTTGGCTTTGGTGATTAATTTCAGTAGCTTCAGTTAATGCTCCTTCTTCAGAATGTAAACCCTATAAAAATTTCACTAAAATAATTTTATTTTTGAAGTTTTGCGTAACTAGGCCTGATGAACGGTTCCCCGTGAAATATTCTTGGAAGTGGCTTTAACCTCTAAATGGAGTACCTGTGTTTAACAGACTAATACAACCTTCTGAGTTAGTCCTTGCTACGAACAACCTAACTAATCAAGGTCAAGCATGTCTCCTAGAAAGGTTTTTTGGGACAGAACTGGGACAATTCCAAAAGGTAATAACGTCTCTGATCTAAAATATTTTCAAAAACTGCTTCGGGCCAAAATTGAGTACTGTAGCCATGTTGTCATTTTCGATGGCCATGTACCTTACAGTCTTTATTTTTATCAGTTGCATACAGCACAAGCAGCATAACTGTAAAAAAAGATATTTAAATATCAACTGTTGTTTCTTTACAATCTAAAACTGCAGTAATTATTTTACTTTATTGATGTTTTGTTGCCATAGAAATAATATTTCACATCTTGAACAAGTCGATCTTAACACTAGCCTCACACCAAACCTTTGGACTTGAACAAATTAAACAGAATATCTAATGTCTTCTACGTTGCTTCATTAACGCAGAGCTCTCCCTCATAGATGTGATGGAGTGTGAGAGTTCTCTGACTGTTTTTAGCATGCACAAATCTGTAATGGTGAGGTTCTGATTGTTCCTAATCATTTTTATGGTAGCAGAACTTCTGGGTCCTGGTCGGACTATGGAGGATCCTGTTACCAGCACTGTTTTTTTACCGATGAGTGGATCCTAAGACCTGCGTGGGCTGGCTTGATGCTAACATAATCTTGTTGGCAGAGCTCAGAGTGTTCTGATTTGTTTACAACTCTTTGCACTATGGCTGCTTTATGCATGAGGTCCTGCAGTTCCTCTGACTCCAACAAAAAGGATACCAAAAAGCAGCTGAAGAAAAAATTAAAAACATTGTTCTTTAATCATCTGATAGTTTGCCAACACTACTTGCATACCAGTTTCAACTGCCCTCAGTTTCAAATACATCACATAGTTTTTGAGCGATCATTGAACATTACATTTGACACAGTATGAAATGTTATTGCACCTTCAGCTGCATTTACATCATCCTCTGTTTTCCCAGATACAAAGTACTCAGTCAACTTTGCAGAAAAACTCTAACCTTGCACAGCTTTGTTTACGTTTTTTATGTGTCCATGTGAGCTTTAAGATATCCAGCAACTTTATTAGACACTGAAACATATCTGCCAGCTTTGCACACTTTGCACAAAGCCTCCCACTTGCTGCAACAGGGACGGCACATGTAAAATTTTTTATACAGTTTCGTTTCGGGATGACTGATTAAAAAATTACTGATATAATGTATGTATGTATATATATATATATATATATATATATATATATATATATATATATATATATATATATATATATTATTATTTTTTGGCACAATAAAGCTAAAATTAATGCTGGAGGTTCAGAAATATCAGAAAATCCAAAGATGCTTGAGAGCTTGTGGCAGTCATGGAAACTATAAAAGTCTTAATCTGCTGTAAAGGGGTTTTAGACGAACACAATGATTTGAGTGTAGCAAATCCCGGGTGTCTCATAACAGCAATCACTTAGTGTTGATGTAACAATTTGCTATCTCAGTCATGAACAGCAAATCTAAAAAGTGGATGTAAGATCCAAAGAATAGCAAGATGTCAGATTTAAAGCCTTAAGAAGAGGTGAAAAATCTATTTCACAATGAGTTTGAACATTTATGTTCAACATGTTATTAATGAGCTTATACATTGTAATATACATGTAACATTGTATGAGGAAAAATTATGATTGAAACATTATTAGAATTTGTTTCGGACTCCTATCTATCAAGGAGGAAGCGGTTAATAATGACTGGATGAAAAGAATATCTATTTGTATATCTGTACTGCCTGTGGAAAGAAAAATAGTTATTCATATTTGTCCTGAGTAACTTGAAGGCAAAAAATATTATACCAGTGATTTTAAATACAGACGCTGATGCTGCTTTTTTGAGTCAAAGTGTGACATCATGAAAACCAAACCTGAAAAAAGTAACAATAAGGGCAAAAGTAGCAAATAATCTTTTTTTTTTTTTTTTTTTTTTTAAGCCCACCAGAGAGGACATCTAACTGCCTCCTGTCTAGTTAAACTTGCAGTGCAACGGGAGACTTCCAAAGCAAAATCATCGCTCTTCATATTCTCCTAATGTTGGATCGGTTTCTATCGTTCATATTTCTTTAGCGGTTCCTTTGTGCCTAATTTGATTTCTTCATATCATTTATTCCTTTAGTTTGGTTATCTAGATGCTTCCATGTATGTTTTCCTTCCTCTATTTATTTTCCTTGGTCCTTATCTTTATGTTCTGCCCTGCGATGGATGGATGGATGGATGGATGGATGGATGGATGGATGGATGGATGGATGGATGGATGGATGGATGGAAGGAAGGAAGGAAGGAAGGAAGGAAGGAAGGAAGGAAGGAAGGAAGGAAGGAAGGAAGGAAGGAAGGAAGGAAGGAAGGAAGGAAGGAATCAATCAATCAATCAATCAATCAATCAATCAATCAATCTACAATTATACCTAATAATTTTTTTTGTGTTCATCTGATTTACATTATGTTACATCCCTTCCTTGTGTTTTTTTTGTTTTTAGCTCCTTCAGCTCATTACCTTGATCCTTCTCAGCTATTTCCATATCGCACTTCACAACTGTTTATCTTGCCTTTATCTTTCCAGTATTTAAGCAGCTGAATTTTCATGTATCTAAACTGAAACATTAATTTTTGTCTTTCCTGTTTCCAACTCTAGTTTGTTTTCTCTGTCAAGTTCTTTGTAAGTTTGTTCTTATTTAGTCATTAAAGAATTAAAAAACTGCCTTAACTACATTTTACCTTTGAACCCTCTAATATGACAACACTAGATGTGTTCTTCGTCTGTAATGGAGAACAGATGTAGATGATCTACTTGTATCAAGGTCTAACATCTTTACATGTTTTGGATTTTCTGTGTTTGTTTTATGTTTGGTTTTATTTTACAGCACACGAGTCAGCCTTTTTTTGCTTGTTTGTTAGTTTTCTGAAGGGCTTTACAAAGTCCTATGGAATGGTATCAGCCTCTCTCGTTCCTCCATTTTATAAAATCTGTTGTATTGGTTGCTTAATATAGAAAATGATCTAGTGAGATTTCATAAGAAAAAAGCTATTCTAGTTGATCTAATTCTAAAACAGTATTCCATATTTTCTATTATACTCATAGGTAATACACTTGCTAGTCTTTTTAGTCAAACACACTGGAGGGAGTCTGACAGTCACTAGACTATACTGTATTATAAGCACATTTGGAATGCAGGCCAGAGACTTAAGGAATTAACCTCTAACCTTCCTGTGAGTGGGAGACTTGCTATACCTCCTGAGCCCCAGACAAAGAGCTGTCTAAGTTGTTTTATAATGTCAGTGGGAACAGACTGTAACAGTGCCCTTTTCACCTCATATTCCTGTTTAAAGCCATAGCCCTCAGCGGTCTTCATCTGGTTGATGTGCTGGAGAAGGTCGGCCACTCGGACTGCGGGGTGGAGCTGTCCTGTGTGGTAGGGGGAGCCTTTACGCCCGCACTGGTGCCTCGGGGAGCCCCCTAGCAGGCTGCTGGCCTCGTTCACTGAACTACGAGCATCACCTGAGCAAGGAAAGGCACATTGGCAGTTTTAATAAGAAACTGGAGCTGTATTATACAACGTAGTTAGGCTCCTATAAAATACACCTGTAGCAACTAAATACAACACATTTGAAATGACTCAGTTGTTTTCTATATCTTACATAATTTAGGAACAATTACGGCAGGTAGAACATGCTCATAGAGCTCCTCTTTTAAGAACTGATCATGTGCAATCTAAAGAATCATTTCATTTAACCCAGCGTGAGCCTAAGTATGAGTCTCTTACTTCGTGTTCCACACGTATGTGAATCCATGAAGGAAAGAGCCAATCTTTCATCCTCCTGCAGGGTGCTCTGGTCTGTGAAACTGCGCTCCAAGGAGCCCATATGGCTCTTTTCCTGCCGGTAGGTAATAGGAGTCTTGTTTACTGGTTTCCTGGTAGGGTAGACGGTGGAGGGAGAGTTATGATACAGAACACACAGGATTTTAATAACATAAAAACTTGTAACTTGTTTTCTAAGAAACATTTTTTGGGTTAGCATAAACGGTGATAAATTACAGCTACACTAAGGCCTTGGAAAAGATTTGTTCACATTTAAATTACAAAGTTTAAAGCATCCGTCTTGATTTAGCAGAGCTTAAATTTGGTTTGGAAGGAAAATGATGTATTGTGTTTGTATTTGTGTTAGCGCTCCTCAATCATTTCTTTGTATAACAACCTTTAACTGAAGTTAAATCTTAAGTCTTTGGGTGTATGTCTCTACAAGAACATATATTCATACATACATGCATATATACATACATACATACATATATACATGCCCATCTATTCATCTATGTTCCTCTTTGCTTAAACCTAATGAGGTAAAAAGTAGAGCATCTCCAAACAGAAGTCTCCTGTTGTTGTCACCGATCCTCAGCTATATTTGCACTTATGTTAAGCAGGGATGTCAGAAACCATTCCTGAAAGGCCGATGTCCTGCATCTTGTTAGACGCATGTCTGCTTTAACCCACCTGAATTAAATAATAGGGTTCTTTGCAGGACTCTGGAGTACTTGACTTCAACTGAGGAGGTAATTAAGCCATTTGATTCAGGTGTGTTGGACCACAGAGAAATCTAAACGTTGCAGGATGAAGGCCCTCGAGGACTTTAGTTTGACATCCCCGACCTAAACCATTTCATTGTTGCTTCATTGTATGCCAGTGGCGGCTGCTGCTCTTTGAAACAGGGGAGGCTCAGTGGTGTTAATTAAATCTGAATGTGACAAATTGCATTAAAAAAGTTGAAACACATAAAACACAATACTACAACGGTTGAAAACTGCAGTTATAAAAAGCTGGGAAATAATAAACTCTAGAAACCACAGCAAGAGTTCAGTGCAAGACGACTATTTCGACTGAATGATCCATTTTCCTCCCACCTCTGAGCATCATGAGGAGAACCATCCCCTATGTCTGGGCACTGTCAGTCATACAGTGTGTTAGGCCAATCAGCATCTAGCAACCAGTTTCAAAACCCGCCCCTGCTCTATAGATAGGTTTAACCTGACAGGAAGTGATGGATTTTTGTATGTTTTTCAATCAGGGCTCTACTTTCTTGCTTTTTTCACACGTCAGTACAGGGAAGCTTAAACTTAGACGTAGAGGCTAACGGGCAGTGTCTTGCTGCTCCAAAGCACACGGGAGATCGCGTCGGAGAGTAGGCTCAACAGTTGATTAATGCAGAACATACCCATAAAATTGATCGCCTTTTAGCGCATATTTAATTCATTTTAAGGAAAAAATTACTAAGTTTAACAATGCATATTTGACAAATTATCTTATAAAATATACAGGAGAAGTTTCGCCCCCTAGTGTTTAATGAGAAACCACCACTGCTATATGCTCAAGCTCCTTCTCCTGCTACAGGTCTTTTATCAGCATCAAACATGTTTCTTTCTTGTATATCCTGCCTTTTATCTCCATCTATCTTCAAATTAACCAGCTTCCTTCATCTGATGATGAAAATTATTCCCTCAGCATAATGCTTCCAACCCTATGTATTACAACATGGTGGTAATGTTTAGGTTTATACCTGGTATAGGTTTTTTGGCCGACACTAGATTTCACATGTAAGACAAAGAGTTCAATTTTAGTCTCATTTAAGAAGACCATCTTAACCCACATGGCCGTGTCCCCTATATACACTGTGTTTTTTCAATCTCCTTTATAAAGACCAGCTTTATGTAGATTTTGTTCCCACCTCTGCTGTGGATCTCTGCAGAATTACATTTGACCTCTTGAATGGCAAACATTATAGAACAACTGTATATAAAATAAGCTTAGCTTACACATAGGATATCCCTGTTTATTTTATTTAGGTGAAAGATAAAACCTGTACTAAGATAAATGTATGGGAATCAGAGTAGCTATTTAACTTCTCATTTATGACAAGCTTTGAAAAGGGTCCACTTAACTTCCCCACCCCTAAAAATGTATGCATTGCAATTCGTGTTATAATGTGGTAAAATGGAATAAAAATGTTGAGAGGCATTCAAGGCACCGTATTTAACATATAGAAATACTGTGTTGAATTTTTCCCTTCAACTGATGAATGATAAGCAGGAGCTTAAGCATGTAAATGATGAATCCCCAGATGAGAGGTGGAGACACTTACGGATAATAAGAGTAGTGGTCCCTTCTGGCAAGAGCGCAGCAAAGGGAGGAAGGTGGGGGGGGATCAAGAAAAAGAAGATATGTAAGATGAAAGCAATGCCAGCTGAGAAGAGAATGCATTGATTACAGTGAAAATAAAGAGTCCAGCTGTGCAGGCAGCCTTATGACATATGTGAGTGGATCAACCAGCTGCTGGCAGATCAAACACACAGCGGTAGACAAACTTTCAATCGACTCATTTTCTGGCCGTTACACCTCGAGGACTGAGCTGTGTGGCTTCCTGTCACAGCCAATCTGGCAATCAATCTCCATGACAAAAAGCTATAGAGGCTCAGGGCCCAGTGTGCAGAATAGTGACTTCAACTATCGGCCATTTTAGTATGTTCAATTGTTGAGGTGGAACACTGACTCCTCATTTGGAAAGCTATACTCTAACTGTTGGATACTTTGACTTGGAAAAGACCCATGGTGAAGGTATCTAAGTGGAAGAGTTAAAGGTGCAAATAATTCACTTGAGGGATCATTGGCTAATAATCTCTGAAGGGACACCTTTCCTCTCCCAATTGCCATTTCATTTAAGGGTCAGGCCTCTGCTCAGTGTGTGTAATTAGGCGATTTAATTGAATTGCATCCACCTTTAATTAAATACTTCACACTCAGATAGGCTCTGCACATGAGCACTGTTTGCTTCCTCTGGGATAGGAAAACAACCCAGCGCTGCTTGTTGGACCTGCCTATTCCCTGGAAAGCATGACCTTCATCAAAGTTCATCAGGCGCATAAAAGGTGGTCACTGAGCTGTTCAGAAATGAAATGCAAAGATGTGGCAGATATGGCATGATTGTGCAAAATGAGGCATGTTTTTAATGCACAGAACAATTAGGTAGAAGTCATTTACCCTTTCTTAATGACGATGATGACGGCACCAAGCAGGAGGATCAAGACCACCAGACCTCCAGCGCAGATGCCCAGGATCAGTCCCATCTCCTCAGTGTGCTGAGACACCTCCATGGCTTTACGGTGATCCTTGCAGGCGGCTAGAAACAAAAAATGGAAAATAATGGAAAATGGAAAATTTCAGCCTTTGCACAAGAGTACAAAAGATATTATTTTTGGGCACTCCCTCCAAAAGAGTGAATGAAAAAGCAGATTTTAGAAATGCCCCCATTTTCTTTTATTGAGATACAGATCCTAGGCATGTATAGGACTGATGTTTGTTCAAATGATTTTTATTAAAATGTTTACAAAAAAAAAACAGTTCAGAACATGGAGGAAAAGTAACAAAATAGACCTCTCTTTTTATGTTTTAGAGTGGTCTGATCTTGAATCATCAAGGGTTACTAGTTTGACAGAAGGATAAAATAATTGATGTGGCTCCTGCACTATTCATCAAACACTGTCTACTAGCGAAACTGTACCTACAAAAATAAGAACAATACATGGCTAAACTCCTATTCACAATATCAAACATCCAGATTGTCAGACTGCATTAAACCCACCAATTACCAAGTAACCCCTGTGTTTGGAAGTGGACACACATGCTAGCTGTTACGTCAAGCAGTTTTCCTTAACTGTTTTATGTTATTGAAAGTGATTAAAATAAGATCACGTGAGTAAAATTGGGACCCCTTGCAATTTGCAGTAAGTCAATTAAAACAGGGAGACATGTTTTGAAAGCGATCCACGGGCTCCGCGAGGTCGGGAGAATGAAGGAGGGAAGAAAAGAGCAGTGAGGCTCAGAAGCACAACATAGTGGTTAAGCTCCGAATTTAGGGTGAATAAAAAAAAAGGATTCTATTAACAGTTGCAGGTAGCCACTCTTCCCTCTTTGCATGTGTGGAAAACAACCTGTTCCCACAACATTGTAATGTAACTCTGTAACATATTCTCTTAACCAGAAAGATTCACTATTGTCCCAGGACTCATCCCTAAACCTAAATGTTGATTTACATACTTTCTGCACCCAACGTTCCAAAAAACGCATTAGGGCTACTCTGTACAGCTTTTCTAGCTAATATTCTTGCCAATTCTAAGGGGAGTGAAGGAAACAGACTGCAAGCTTAGATGTAAGGAAGATAGAGGTATTCATTTTTAAACAGCACCATACATGGTTGTTATATATTTTTATTATATGCTCATCTGAACAGTGTCTCGGCTGTTCCAGATCTTTTAGCCATTCAATGTTTTAGTGTTTTAATGTTTTATCATTGAAGCAGGACCTTGATAAAATGGTCTTTATCAATGGTTTCCTAGAAGAGTTTTTTTCTAAACAGAAAAATAAAAAATAAATGTTGTAGGTATGAAATGCTGCACTTTTTCTATGTGTTACTATTTTCAAGTTTTTGAGTCACAATTATTTCTGACAACTTTGTTCGCCTGAAGGTCAATTAATTAACAAATCATACAAACCTAAATGTATTTAATTTTTTGATCTAAGTCGGGATGAAACGTATATTTTTTCCAAAAAGTCTTACTTAATACAACATAATAAAGGTTCCTTTTACATGATTTACTGCAGCAGTGGTGTGCTCTCTGTCTACAGCTTTAGTAGCGGCCTTAAACTTGTCTGCTTTGTTGGCTCTGGTATCTCAGATCTTCAATGTAGATGAGATGGTTAAGGTTAGGGCCCTCTGCACCTCATTCCTAAGACATGTCTTTGCTTTAGCACAACTTCATCAAATTATGTATAACCTCTTCAAACGTTGAGGGTTGCAGAAATCTGTTAATCACCTACAGTATCTATTTAAGTCAAGTGTATTGCAGTAGGTGAACACCTAAAACATCCTTTACAGTGGGCCCTGAGGACTAGGGTTGAAGACGTCTAGTGCAGACCATAGGTCTTCCATCCTGGTCCACAGAACCTACTGTTTTAGTTGTTCCTCTGCCTCCGCATGCTACCTAAATCACAAACACGTACATTTGAATATCAAAGTAGAAATATAGTAAGATGGCCTCTCTTGTCCCTACTTTTTCTTTCCTTCTCAAGTTCAACATTATAGCAATACTGCCTCCAAAACCATTCATTTCCACTTCATGGTGTTGTTTTGCCCCATCCCAAAATCTATTTGTGAAAGAAAAAAAGGCATCAATTTAATCAATATTACTAATTCCTCCAGTGATTGTGCCTGGAATACCTCCATTCAGCTCTGATGATGCTTCAGATGGAAGCATTTTTTGCTCTTAAAATTAGCTAGTGGGTGACTGGACTAACATTGCCCTTTGCTTTGCAAATGATCACTGATTGTGCACAGTGTACCTCAAACACAGAGACTCTGAGCCTTTCCACCTTCCCTCCCACCTTTGGCACTTTAATTTCTAAATGCAAATATTGCATTTTTGGTATTATTTCTGATTAAAAACAGGATTAAAACGAGCAATATGAAAGCTGTAGCTAAAGTTCTATATAAATATGTATACAATGCATATGAAGCACTAGCTGCAGCCGTAGTTGTAAATCTCCCTCAGACATTTGAATAAGCTTTGCTTCATTATTTATATGAGGCTGTGGTGACCACATAACATAGTGGAACCCATAGCTTTTGAACAATTATCTTTCCTGGTTTACCCTTCATATGAAATGTGTCACTGACTGTGGGCTGTACAACTGTCACTCTGCAGTCTGCCAAAAGATTGAGTAGGGCCTCCAATTGCAATAATACTACATTTCTATGTACAAAATGTATATAGATGTGTTATAATACTTACAATGATACTTTGAGGTTAATTTTAAATAGAAAATGAATGAAATATCCTGTTCTCAGTCAGAACAATCTACCCAGGCCCGCGGCATAATCTCAAGGTGCCCTGGTGTCCGTTATCCAGCGAAAAGGTCATTACCATAATAGCAGGTTATTCATTTCTCCACCGTAAAGCTTCATACTTATGTAAATGGTGCTGAGCAGCGGGGCTGTCTTTGTCTTGTTAGTGGTGCCCACTGATCTACTTTTTTTTTTTAAATCCTACCCACTGCCAGCCTGTCCTCCAGGCTTTGACAGCCCTGAAACCAACCCCTCTGATCCCAATGGAACAGCTCAAACTATCTGGAGAGCAGGAGAAAGTCAGAGCACGCCTGGGGACAGAGCGCTATCTCACAGTCTGCTAAGAGGGGGAAAAAATCAGATCTAGGGCAGGGACAATAAAAATACAGCCATGTTTTAGCCAAACTATCAGCAGCCATGGGCGCTGCTTTTGAACCCCCATCACAAACAAAGACAAGAGTGGTAAAATATAATTTTAGTCCTTGTCAGGGTTATTAATAAATAATCAGCATCTGGAAAAATGCAGTGCAGAATATAAGTCACTGGTCTCATTTTACAATGGCTGAGGTCCATTAATAGAAAGCATTTCACAGGTGTTTTATGTATCTGATAAGTAAAACAGCAAATCATTCAGCCTCTAAGAAGCTGATCACTATAAAATATTCCTCGTAATAAATGTATATCCAGCATTGTCTTTTCATTTAAAATTAGTTAAAACTTAAAGCTGTTAAACATGTAGATGAGGAGCTGAGGAAATTCCATTTCTGTTTCACAATGTTTTGGACAGAGAAGACTGTTTTGTCATATTTAGCTTCAAAAATTTCTATTAAGCCAAACATGAGCATGAAATAGATTTTCACATGAATCCAAGCACCTGCCTGCTGCCCTGTGGTGGAAATTGGCACTTAGGGGAGAAATGGAAGTCTATTGTTGTGTTGTGCCTGCCAGAGGATCCTTAATTAAACTGTCACCTGGAAGTTGAAATGTAATCTCCAGCTCTGTTATCCAAGCCAGAATCATTTGCCTCCACTTTACCTGTGATGGGCTGCTTGATAATAATGGCTCAGGACCTGATGATGCAGAGGTTATGTTAATGGCCAAGGAATCATCGAGAGCAGCTACACGGGAAAAGAAACAACTCCAGCAACACAGAGAAACCGGCAGTTTGCATGAGATTTCCAGCTAACATCATCTTTAAAGAATGTATAACGTAATCCTAAACGTGCTAAATTTGCAGCTTAGTCAAACACAGTTTCCTATGTTTATAAAGAGGAGACTATCGAAATTTATTGGGAGTTTAATAGCTTTAAGTTCCTATAAACAAATTGTCTCATAAATCTACTTGGAAACTAAGTGGCAGGAGTTCTATTACAAACATTTTTTTAAATGTTGTTTTGTAAATGACTAGTTTTCAACTGAGTAATTTGATGTAGCGTTTGAAACTTTTCAGTATATTGCATTCGGTAACCCAAGAAAAATACCTCAAAGGCAAATAATTTCAGTTGTAATGTTGAACTTTGATGCATAAAATTGTGGTTGATTAAAAACTTTTCAATTCACAAAAAGAAAAAGATATAAAGTTTTCTTTTTAAATAAAGAAAACCACAGAACCAAAATAGAAATAACCCTTTGATCTGACTGAATATGTTTTCATGTACTTTGTAATTGAATGCGTTTGTTTAAGGATGAATTTTCCTGATTGAAACTGAATTTTATGGTTATATTTTGAGCCACAATGTAATTAAAGATTCACGGATTGACTTTTTAGATCAGGTTAAATTTATTTTAAGTTGCAGCAGAGAAGCAGACATATACTTGGTAGACGTCATTAAAACCAGTAAACTATCATGTCTGAGAGGTGTCAAGAAAAAAACATTAGCTAAAGCTAAGTGTAGCCACTTCCTGTAGGTATTGAAAATGAAAGTGTAGCATAGCTTCATGGATTTGATGAGAAAATATTTTTACGTCATCAGAGATTTGAGACGTGACTTCGCCCTCAGTTGACTTGGAGAAAGGGACTCGTGGATATCCTTGGTAAAAACCGTGGCTTTTTGGTCTACATGCAGCCCCAGGAAATGGGTTAAATCCTAAGAGTGCATTACTCATACAGTATTGCTTTTAAGTTACTTTCTCTTCCATTTCCTCTCTTTTTGTGACATTGTTAATATCTTACTGCACTATTGCATTCCGTTCTTTAGCAGCATTTCGTGTCAAAAGGCACGAGGCCAGCGCAGTGTTCAGTTCCTTGCTGTAAGAAAGCATAATTAATCAATGCCCAACTGGGTAGTGGGAGGCAGATGGAGTGAGAGCTGAGCTTTGCCTTTTGGCTTTATGCTTGAGGAGAGCCTCATCTCTCGTTATGCAGCCTTCTCAAAAAAAAAAAAAAAGAAAAAAGGAAAAGAGGCAACCCTCTAAATCAATTGACTTACAAGGCTCCGCTTACTGTTGCAGCAACGATAACTATAAATACATGACTTTTATTCGCCATGATATGACAGCGTACTGTGGCAAAGATTCTCCTGCCATCAGGACTTAGAGTCAATGTCTCTGCCCTTTTCATGTCTTTTGAATTGGAACGCTGAGGAGCAGAGGAATAGAAGCGCGGAGGGGGCAGCACTTTCTTATACTGAGAGGCCAAGGTAGCTCCATCTGGAGGTTTTGATCTGGAGAACCTTTTTGGACGCAACCGAGGTCGGAGCTCTCAGATGTAGCTATCTAGTGGGCTGCTGATGAGAACAAAGAGACTAGTTTGATGTGATGTATTCTAGTGTCTGCCCCCAAACAAGTAGGATGAAAGCCTGACCTCTAATCCCTCCCTGCCTGTTGCCCTTTTCTCTGGGGCCCACTGTTGAACAACAAGAAACCATCAGAGAACATTTGGCGAGATCTAAACCTTTGTACTTAAGAAAAGGGTAAACAAAAGTGCATCAAACACACACACACTTAAAACACAATACATCCTTATGGTTATTTCCTAGCTTTTTAAACAGAAAAACCCTCACAAAATGTTTAATGAGACTGTTGGCTGAATGATAAAGTAAATGCTCTGAATTACCTTTGCGAGCGATGCGGATGCAGTTTATTCTGGATTCCTGAAATATAAAGAAAGCAGCAATCAGAGGTGAGGTACAACTTAGCATTTCAAAGCAAAAACTGATGATGAAAGGAAAGATATGAACCACCCTGAAAGCCTGACATGAATGTCTGATATGAAATGAAACTAAACCTATGGATCTGAATATATATGTTTTAACCCAAAGGTCAGCATATTAAAGATTAGATTTGAAATAAAATAAAAATAAATAAACTTTGAATTACATTTTAGGCCAATATGATGAAAGAAAAGGTTAAAAGTAGAAGGAGAAATTATGGAACAATATTAGAAAAAAAATATAAAACATGAGAGTTTCAGTGAAGTGTTTAAAGAAGATTTTTTTTTTTAAGGAGAAAAGATGGGAGCTGAAAGAAAGAGCATAATTAAAAGGAGGGTTTCAGACCAGTGCCCCACTAAGAAAATGAATTAATTTTCTTCAGATTCCAGCTGATGACATCTCAGCATTATGAAAAAGACCTTTGTCAAATATCTCTAATGAGATCCAAGACTGTAATCTAATTCCATCCTGCACCTCCCCACACCCCCCACATAGAGGAGATTTATTATCAAATTAAAATTTACAGATGCCAATTTAGGCACTATGAGGCAATTATGCTAATTCTTTTCCAATTTGGAAATGAGGGAAAAAGGCCTTTTTTTAAACTGCGGTAAAATTGCATTTTCAAAATGCAATTCTACATTGAGCTGAGGGATACGTCAAACATTTTGTCATTTGGTGGTTTCATCTTCCAATTCCCAGCCACATGCTGTGACAGGCAGAAGTTTTTAAATACACTCACCGTGGCTGTGAGTCTCATTTTGATTATTCTGGGATATTCCTTTTCTGGTTCAGAACAGGATTTAAACATAAAATCCATTTCATTTAATCAATTCTCTCACAACCACAAAGCTATACAATTAAACTACATTTGACATCAATTTTCATATTTCCATGTTCTATCTATTATATAACAAACTGTCCACTTGGACGAGTAAAATCGTTTTCAGGTCGAATCAAGCTTGTGGGCACATTACGGGATGGTTGTGGAGGCATTATCATGATGAGCTTTTCCTCTATGATATATTTATTTAGTTTTTTGTTTAGAACTTACACATTTATTATTTTTACAGAGCAATTATACAGCCATACATCAGTGGTAAATAACACAAATGTTGACAATATGAAGTTTTCCATAAAATAACCATCTTAGCATGATATCCTACAACCTCAGCATTACATCTGTAGACTCATGTATGATTGGGGACTGCTGAGCCTAAGTCTCTCCAAGCACAATCTTGGTACTTTAGCATCCATCTTTGCAACTACATCTGGGGTCCTGAAATATCTGCTAATAATTTTCCATTTAAAATCCCGCCACGTATGAGTTTGTAACTCGATTTGCTTCAGTCCAGACTGCCTCCCATGTTTCGTCAGAACCACTGGGGTTTTTAACAGGGCAATTATCCCAAACACACATCAGATTAGAACACACAGATTTTAAATGACATGAAACAGGCTTAAATTAGGCTTTCGCAAAAGTCTGTTTAAAATAAATGTTTGTCAGCACAAGGAAACCAACCAACTTTAATGAACACTAAGATTTCAGCTATTAACTGTCGAATATTTAGCCAGAACTATGCAAACTTGGTGTTGTGTTGAGTTTAAAATAAATTGCTTATTAATCTTGGGGAAAAAAACAGCACTAATGAATCATTAAAGCCCAAAATGATCTTCTGTCATAATGAGTGAGTTCAAATGTTGCACCGCATCTGTATGTTTTCTAAGCAGCTTTGATTAAAACTAATTTAAGTTTCACAAAATATTTGACCTTTATAAAAAGGTATTTGAAGAATGACTACTGATTTAAATTTTTTGTTACTACTTTATGTTCCACTGGAGAATAGTTCATTTTGTTTGATATGATCAAATTAACTTTTTTATTTTCCACTTTTACTGACAGTTGTATCTGTATATGACTGAATCCAGTCCTGATTTTAGGACTACTGATTACATCTTTTTGCTATAACATCTGAATTATAACTAACTTTAAAGCTGTACTTTAAAATGCAAGAAAAAATGAAACAAAACAAATTAAATGCAAAATGTATCAAAAATTATCTACAGGAACTCATCTGATATAAATGTAAGACTATTGTTTTTGAATTAAATCCTTATGTCTGATTGACATTGTGAAATTTACCAGTGTAAAGTTTAAAGACCCCGTTAGTACTGTACAGATGAGGACCCTCAAAAGCTCCCCGTATTCAGCAGTGGTTTGTCATTCCTGCTTTAGTTGAAGCTCCATTTTCCCTCTAAGAGAAATCCCCACAAATCCTGATGGAGCCTCCAATGTGCTAAAACACTGAGACAGGTATGACTGCAGCCTGGAGACTTCCTTTGTCACAGCCTTTGCCTCCTGGAGCTGTTCGGGTGATTTGAAGCCACAGCCATTGCTTTTAACTTTTAAAACAAAACTTCACATCACATTTTATCAGCAGTTGTCCTTTTTGGGGTGATAAAATGTCTGGTGTTACGCCATATTTTGTAATTCTTCATATATTGTGACTTAAGGTGCTGGTGGGTTTTCTCCTTACCAATCTGCTACTTACATTTACTAACTTCGAAAGATGCATACCTAAAGCAAATTTTTAAGGTAACGTTTAAAAAAAATCTCTTCAAGCATCACTCTTGCCATTATTTTTTTACTAATACTAGCTAAATGGTAAAGATCCAATCAAAACCACACACTTCATCAAGAAAAAACAAGTTAAGATATGTAAGGGCATAGGGAGTATGGCAAGCCGATAAAAATGTAATCAGTAAGTTTAACAATCCGGAACTTGTTACATAATTATGGTTATCTATGATCATAACCATAGTTTAATTACTTGTAAATAATGAATGAATATTAATTCAAAGCTACATTGTGTAATTTTCAGCAGCATTTAATGGTCCTACTTCAGGGACATGAAAAACTCCCCCATCATTGTCATCATGTTTTAGTGAACGACTTACCATAGTGATTTAAACAGACTAAGTAACTGTAGTCGTTTAGTGTGATGTGAGATTATGTTGTTGGAAGCTTATGTTTTCCATGTTTAAGGATTCCAAGTTTTAACTGTGGCACGGGGGTATTTAGACAAGAAAGTGGGTCTCTATAGTCACTAGCTTGTGAGCATAGAAATTTCTATTGAGACTTGCACTTCATAGATTATAAAACTATATTACACAGATTCGTAATGAATATCCAGTCTAGCAATTAAATGTTAAAAAAGCTCGCCACAGTTGCTGAGATTTAAGTTCGACAGATAAGCAACATAAGACGAGGGCTATGATACGGGTGATCTTCAGGCTGAATCCATAGACTCTTGATAACTTCACCAGTGGAATCTCCTTATTATGGTATTAATAGTAACATCCATCAGAACTGGTCACAAAAATATTTTTCTAATTTGAAATCAGAAAATAAAAAAATAGTTTATGGTGAAAGATGTGTTGTATGGAAACCTTGCCATTAAGAATGCTCTGCAAAAGACTTTGGCTAAGGATCTCAAAGTGTGGCTGCATTCAAAGACACAGGCTATGTCCGAACATCCGCCCTAACCCCTAAATGCTTAAATTACTATACAGATCAGGAACTATATGGATTTATGGTGAACTCGGGCCTCTGACTGTTCATACACGTGACCACTACTTTCCCCTCCCTGTTGTTCATGTGACTCTGGCTGCCCACACGAAGCCTCCACCATATTTGTTCTCTCTTAGCCCCAAAACAAATATCATGATGCTTTGTGAGAAGAACTCTTGCAAAGCATTCTAGGATACATCTGCTTGTATAGTTAGAGTAGCAGCCATTCAAAATTTCCCCACTTTCCTTGATAGGCCACTGGCTGGCCCTTGGCTGGTCCCCTACAATTCCTGTTTAAACATCAACCTTTGTACTCAAATATTCTTTCTGTCATGGTTTGTGGACATTAAGATCTAAAGAGAAGCGTCGTCTCCTGGTCAGACCCTGTAATTCAGTGAAAGGGTGGAGCCAGAGCAAAAAACATGCATACCCAGTGGCTGAGGGGATTTTGCTGAGAGTTGCAAGAAAGTGGGCTGCCATTCAGCTAGCATTTGACTGGAAATAAAAACAGAAAACAAAAGTTGATGCATCTTATTCTGCCTCCAAAGCAGTTGCAATCAGTCATACATTTAGTTATTACAGGCTTTGGCGAGCTAAGACACATACATTGTCAGCTATTTACTGAGGTAAATAAATATGCTATTGTGATGGATAGAGGCATATTCTGTAAAATGGGCAACTAAATCAATGCACAAGAGCTCAGTAGAAGAGTAAACTGCCAAGGTCCAGACTGTCAAACAAACATCACATGTCTCTGTGTGCACAGCCAGTCATGCCAGAGGGGCTGCTGGTTCCTGGCAGCTCTAAATGCAAAACACAAATGCTGGAGCTCAACATAGGGCTCCACAGCACACGTTTTGTGTATGTGTCGAGAAAGCTGGGAGATAAAAATTCAAATGTTACAGATTCCAATGTTGTGGCCCACAAAGCAACAGTCTGTTATTTATTGTTGTGATCGATCAACTGCAGCAATAACAGGCTTGACAGTTACTTTGATATAATAGAGGCGGTAAAATGCCAAATATTGTGGGTCAAACACTTCCAACAAAACTAGTTAAAAGACTACAAGGTAAACAAAATACTAAGCGCACGAGTACTGATTTAATGAGGAATGCAATTAAAGGGCCTGACAATTCAGTCTGAATTACAATGAGGAGGTCAGGGTGCAAGGACCTGTAGTGATTATCAAATCTGACACATCAAAACAAGTCTAGTGATAAGAAAGCTTAATCAGAAACAGATTTTGGAAGGGTTCTAAATTTCTTGGAGAACCTTTTTTTCTATTTCTAAACTCCTCAAGGCTATTGTAAGTAGTAAAAGACAGAGATGTACAGGGGAGATAGGTAAAGTAAAAATCCAACCTTTTTTG